TGAGGAAAGAGGGGCCTAGTTTCCTCCGGCTGGAGGGTCCTTCGGCCTGCGGGCACTGCAGGAAGCAGGGGGCTCCTAGGGGCAGATGAACGAGGGGATCCTGCCCTTGGGCTGCTCCCAGTTAGGCTGACCAGGGCCTCAAACGTGGGAGGAAGGCCGATCCTTGGGGTGGCTGTTGTGCCAGGAGGGCTTGTCCACCCTGCAGGAAGGTGGCATTCCCCACCACCAGACGGGCACAATGCCCTGCCCTATGAGGAGGGGCCCTGCGGGTCTCTGCACGAAGCAGCCTGGCAAGGGCCCAGCGAAGTGGCAGCGCTGCACCCGGGCAAGCAGCTCATGCAGGGAAATCCCAGGAGAGAGAGAGAGAGAGAGAAAGGGGCAAGCCTTGACCGTCGGTCCCTGGGTCCTCTCGCGTTCTGGAACCAGGCAGAGCAGGAAGCAGCCTCCCATCTCCAGCTGGCGAAGGTTCCCCTCCTTCCGCCCCGTCCCCCCCCTCCAGGGCCTCCGTGGGGACCCGGTCGCAGGACGCAGGGAGAGACGTCCCACCCAGGGGGCAGGCCCCCCAACACCCCACCCGCAGGGCCTGGCCCCTCACCGTCAAAGAGATGCTCGCTGCCCTCCTTCAGCAGGCAGCTGACGCTGAGAGGGATGAAGAGCTGGGCCCGGAGGGGGTCTCCGTACAGGTAGCTTGGCAGGGCGAACGGGCCTTCGAGCACCGGGACCAGCAGGAAGCCGCAGGAGGTGGCCTTGCGGTGCCAGCCCTGGACCTGGGGGTGGAAGAGAAGACAAGGAAGCCTGTGGGCCCTGGCAACCCCTCCGCCAGGCACCGGCTGCCGCACACACACCCCACAAGGGTGAAGGAATGCCAAGATCTCACCATCTCGAAGAGGACGGCCGCCGTCACTGCCATCCAGTGCAGTTTGATTTCGAAGGCGGCGCTCAGGGAGAAGTTGCCATGGTAGTAGCAGCTGCACCACTCCAGGCGGTCCGTGCGGTTGTTGACGTCCACATCCAGGGTCACC